TTGATTAAAATCTGTGACCGCCATTTTTTCTTCCCATTATAGGCCTAACTCTCTTGGGCTCTTATTAGTATATATATAGTAGATAGTAGATAGTAGAAGTAGATAGTAGATTTTAAAATAAGTTATATGAACCAACCATTCCAGGAAACTAATTAATAGAAATATACATGTTGAATTGATCACTACTCAAAAGTACTTCTGATCCGTATTTCCTAAAAAGATATTGACATAACTACCTAGAATCATTTATAGAAAGTACTTCTGATCCGTATTTCCTAAAAAGATATTGACATAACTACCTAGAATCATTTATATTAAAATATTTAATAATAGATTTGAATTTCATTAATATCAATTATAATTACCATATACAGCAATGTTCAATATAGTAAAAAAAGATATATATTTTCAAATTCATACAAGTTACCATATATTCATAATTACTATATACAGCAATATTCACCTGACTGTATAATTGTATATCTATATATAGGAGAGCATTTCGTTGCTTATAACTACAAGAGCTAAATTTGTTTTTGTTATATTTTCAAAAACCCATCATAAAATAATCTACCTATTGATTTTAAAGAATGAAGTCCAAATATCAACTTCATTTGTTTACAGTCTCTCTCCTATTTGTACTTATTTCATCATCACCCCATAATGATTTTGATATGAGATATGAAGTGATGAAGAGATTGGCTCCTGCGGGTCCAGACCCTGTCCAACCACCCTTTTTAACGAATAATTTTGATATGAGATATGGGATGATGAAGAGATTGGCTCCTGAGGGTCCAAATCCTAGTCACCCACCACCATCAACACATGATTTTGATAGGAGATATGGAGTGATGAAGAGATTAGCTCCTGAGGGTCCAAATCCTAGCCACCCACCACCATCAACACATGATTTTAATAGGAGATATGGAGTGATGAAGAGATTAGCTCCTGAGGGTCCAAATCCTAGCCACCCACCACCATCAACACATGATTTTGATAGGAGATATGGAGTGATGAAGAGATTGGCTCCTGAGGGTCCAAATCCTAGCCATCCACCACCAACACACGATTTTGATAGGAGATATGGAGTGATGAAGAGATTGGCTCCTGAGGGTCCAAATCCTAGTCACCCACCACCATCAACACATGATTTTGATAGGAGATATGGAGTGATGAAGAGATTAGCTCCTGAGGGTCCAAATCCTAGCCACCCACCACCATCAACACATGATTTTAATAGGAGATATGGAGTGATGAAGAGATTAGCTCCTGAGGGTCCAAATCCTAGCCACCCACCACCATCAACACATGATTTTGATAGGAGATATGGAGTGATGAAGAGATTGGCTCCTGAGGGTCCAAATCCTAGCCATCCACCACCAACACACGATTTTGATAGGAGATATGGAGTGATGAAGAGATTGGCTCCTGAGGGTCCAAATCCTAGTCACCCACCACCATCAACACATGATTTTGATAGGAGATATGGAGTGATGAAGAGATTGGCTCCTGAGGGTCCAAATCCTAGTCACCCACCACCATCAACACATGATTTTAATAGGAGATACGGAATGATGAAGAGATTGGCTCCTGAGGGTCCAAATCCTAGTCACCCACCACCATCAACTTAGAATAGTAAAGTAGTAGTGCCTTGTAGTTCTAACCTTGACCATCCTATAAGATGGAGGGGAGATAACCTTTAAAGGGAAAAGTTGATATTCAAAGCAATATATGTTTCAATTAATGCATATTTGCATCCATTTTAACGATTTCTTGCTTTGATCAGAATAATAATGATAATATTTCAGTTTAATAATAATTGTGATTTTAAAATGTTAAAACTATTATTAATTATACTAGCAAAAATATGGGTCTTGCATGAAAATTAATATCTATTTTTCCAACACAATAATGATGGGTATATTGAAAAAGATTAATGAAAAAAAAATAGATCAATTCAAAAAAAAAAGTCACAAATTCAAGCACATAATTATTTATAGTATCGGAATTTGTAAATTTCAAGAAACTCATTAATGGCACGTTTAGTTCGCGGAATAGACCTGTAATGGAATAGCATTCCCAGTAATAGGAATAGGCAGGAACAGTGTTCCTAGGAATGATCTATTCCCCTTGCAAGGAGAATAGAGATTTCTCGCTCCCCTTAGGTATTAGGCTGCTCCCCTTAGGTATTAGACTATTCCTGAGTCCTCAGGAATAGCTTATATATTTTATTCTCTATTTTACCCTTGTTTAACTTGAAATTTGTTAGGCTATCTTTCTCTCTATCTTCTCCTCTCTTCCACCATTTGCATCTATAACATCATCTGATATTTATATCATTCCATAGCCGAATCTGAATTAGATTACAAACAAGAATCATCAACAAAATAATGAGGATCAACTCATCAACTCAAGCTTACATATAATCAATAAAAATTCAGTTTTGTCAAATCTCAAACAAGTAAATATGTGCCATTTTTGCTTTCTTTAAGATACAAACTAAACATGTAAAACATCATCTTCTGTGTATACTATTTCATAGCTCAATCTGAACTAGCTTATAAACAACAACAACAAAAAACAAAAAATCATCAAAATAATGAGGATGAATGAACTGCACACCTCAGAGACTGGGCGGGATCTGATTTAGCTTAATCTGATCTGCTTCTCCTTCTTCATCGTTCTCCGTCCGGGTCCACAGTCCGTGCCTGGCCTTCCCACCACAATAACCCGCTTGAATCTGTAGCTATGAACAATCGATGATGCAAAGACGGTGACGAGCAGCTCCTTTTCCGGACTTTGGGTACCAATCCCTCAATCCCCACCCGATCGTACAAAACCATCCTCCATCGCCCGGATCGCGCGCCGCCACAGTCGAAGCAAGAGTCGCGCCTCCGGAGGTCGCAAATGACGGCCATTCCACAGTCCGATCGTGGCCATCACTCCGCCTGGTCTCCGCGTCAACTCCTGGAGGTTGAGGACGGCCATCGCCGGCATGTACGACCACCGGAGCAGCCATAGACGAGACTGCCTCGCTATCGCAAACTTGCGCCGCTGACGTCCGATCACCACGATTTTGGTCTCGATGGACTCTGGGAAGCTTGATGAAGGCAACTGGAGGTCTTGGCAGTGGTTCGCCGGCCTGGAGGCATCGAATCGCCTCCGGAGACCGATGCTCCGGGGGACTTCGTTTGCTAATATTATAAATTAATGCAAAAGCAGTGTGAAAAAAGAGGAAGCAACACCACGTATAATAAGAAGATAATATAGAAACAAATCACCTCTGTGATTTGGGATGATCCATATTAACAATATAATCAAACTTGTGATTTGGGACAATCTATATTAACAATATAATCAAAATTGTGATTTGGGACGATTCATATTAACAATATAATCAAACTTATAATAATAATAATAACAATAATAATAATAATATTTTGTACAAGGACATTTATGTCTTTTAAACATATATTCCATTCCTATTCCTTAACCAACCAAACATTGAAATACAATTCTCAATGTCTATTCCTTCAGCGAACCAAACAAAAGAATACAATTTATATTCTATTCCTTACCTATTACATTCCTTATGGAATAATATTCCTATTCCCTCCAAATTTATTCCGTAAACCAAACGGGCCATAAAAGATTTAGAGATATACACTTAGGTCACATTTGATGGGAGACTTTTGTACTTTACTATCATATTACTCGGTATTTGATAAACGCTATCATATTTATTTTAAATACCATTTCAATTTTTAATGTTTGAACCAGCCCATTATTAGTTTTATGACAATGCATTGAGATATACTAGCTTACTTCTATACTAATATTACATTATAACCTACTCGAAATTCATTTGTAATTTATTGTGACGAGGTTTATGTTATTATTATTATTATTATTATTATTATTATTATTATTATTATTATTTCTCTAAAAAATTCTTATATTCCTTAAAAGCTCCTAATAGGGATAAAAATTTATCCCGTTTTCGACGGGATTCCTGATCCCCGCCTCAATAGAGACGGAAATGGGCAAAATTTTGAGAAACGGGGACGGAGACAGAGACGAGAAAGTGTATGTTATTCCCCATTAGGGACGGGAATATATACCCCTCCCTGCCCCGCCTCATCCTCGAATAATTATTGTAATTAATATATATATATATATATATATATATATATATATATATATATATTAAATTAAGACTTAAGTTTTAGTTTTTAAAATTAAAAATTATATTAATTTAAGATTTTGACTATAGATCGAGGACGGGGATTTTCCGTAGAGATGGAAATGAAGACTATTTTCAATTCCCCGTCGGAAATAGAGACAGAGATAGAGTCGGGATTTCAGGGACGGGCCTTGTCCCGCACCGCTGCCACCCGGAGTGTTATGCCCTGGACCCGTGTCTACCAGTTGCATGGTGGACTCGCTGTACATTCATAATTTCTATACTGTAGATTCATAATTTTTATACTGTATATTCATAAAATTTATAATGTAGATTCATAATTTCTATACTGCACATTCATAATTTCTGTACTGTAGATTCTTAATTTCTATACTGCACATTCATAATTTCTGTATTGTAGATTCATAATTTCTGTATTGTAGATTCATAATTTCTATATTGTAGATTCATAATTTTTATATTGTAGATTCATAAAATTTATAATGTAGATTCATAATTTCTATACTACACATTCATAATTTCTGTATTGTAGATTCATAATTTGATAACTATGTGTTCATAATTTGATAACTATACAGTTTAGAAGTTATGAACCTACATTACAGAAATTATGAATGTGCAGTATAGAAATTATGAATTTACATTATAAATTTTATGAATCTATAATTTAGAAATTATGAATCTACAGTACAAAAATTATGAATATACAGCGTGTCCATCGTGCACATGATGAACACGGGTCCATAGCATAATTTCATTAATTTGCCCTGCCATCTCCTAAATTTGTTAAATCCATTTTTGGCGGGAAGCATAACTTGTAAAGGTTTGTTGTCGGATTTGCGATGAAGAGATAGGATTAGGCATGGGATCCACGATCCCATTTTTCGGCTCTTACAGTTGCAACTGCCCAACTCTAGCGAATTATACATCGGCTTTGATTTTCTTCTCTTTTTTTTTTTTCTTAATAATTTTTTTTTTTGAATTTCAGTGTTTTCTGACATCTTTATCCGCTCCCCATCTCTCTGTCACCTTCGCCACTAGCGCATTATTTTGTTATTTCTTCGAGATTTGTTTATATAATCAGTAACCTTTCACTCGAAGAATCGAAGTTCATCGTGTACGATCGGCTCGAAGATTGCCTGAAACTATGATTGTTTTTCGGAAGCCAGTGGTTTTGTGGTGTGCGTTGATTCTGTTTGCGTTTTTGTCTGTGTGTTCTTCGGACGTTTCAATCTCCGTTTCTCCGAGAACTCTGTTGAGATCTCGTGATCCGGTGGCGATATGGTGGTCCGGCGTGACTTCTCCGTCGAAGCTCGACTGGGTTGGGATTTATTCTCCGGCCAATTCCTCCCATGAAGATTTCATAGGCTACGTCTTCCTATCGTCATCGCCCGGGTGGGATAACGGGTCGGGTTTCATTTCCATCCCTCTGGTCAATCTCCGGTCGAGTTACCAGTTCCGGATCTTCCGATGGAACGAGTCGGAGGTCGACATGACCCGGGTTGACAAGGATCATAACCCGTTGCCGGGAACGGAGCATTTGCTGGTTGAGTCGGAAGAGATCGGGTTCAAGCCGGGTCGGGGCCCGGAGCAGGTCCACTTGGCATTGACGGGTAGGGATGGTGAGATGCGGGTCATGTTTGTGACTAGCCTGGGAGATAAGGGTTTCGTGAGGTATGGGTTGGCCCGGAATCGTTTGGATCGGGTGGCGGATACTCGGGTCGAGAGGTACGAGAAGGATCAGATGTGCGGGGCTCCGGCTAATCAAAGTGTTGGTTGGAGAGATCCGGGTTACATACATGATGGTGTTATGATCAATTTGGAAAATAAACGGAGATATTTTTATCGGGTAATTTTAAAATTTATTATTTGAGCATATACAAACTGATGATTTAATGTTGATCAATTATGTATGCATATATATTTTAGATTCATTTATGCTATACATGACGTTCATTATTTGTAGAGCATAGTTAGATTTAATCGATACACACTACCCCTATCCATTATTTTTATGCATGATTCATTATTTGTAGAGTATAGTTGGATTTAATCCGTCCAAAGCAATAACGCGTTGCACGCGCTGGCTGGCGTAATGTGCCGTTGCAACTATGATAGAAAGCCGTTTGCTTGTTTTGTTGCCAAACCCTTCACTTTTCTTTTGAATCAAAGTAGGTCGGGGACGGTTGTATTTTAGTCGGTCGGGGGAAGCTACCGCTTCTACGACAGCTCCAGCTCCACTCGTCCACTTTTCCCGTGCTTGCTTGCTGAAGGCTTAGAGTTCTTTTCGCTAGGTCCAAAAGCTTCCCAAAAGATATGATCCAACAGAAATCCCGCATTGAGTTGCTAGGCTATCATATCATGCCATAAAAAACTTTTATATGTCTAGAGGATTTCCTCTGATTTTTTTCTCTCCTGGTGGCCTCTAAAAAAAACCTTTTTGACAGGCATATTCATTTTTCTCTTTTCTCTACCTCAAAACCCCACAATTAAAAAATTAAGAAAAAACTATAGATGGAATGCCCCAATCTAAAAGTAATTATAATCGTTGACTAAATTAGGCATTAATTAACTTGTAAATTGTAATTAATATATAGTTGATTTTTTTTTTTTTTTTTTTTTTTTTTTTGCAGGTTGGAAGTGATCGTGGGGGATGGAGCAATATTTACAGCTTCGTTTCCCCAGAACGCAACTCAAATGAAACAATCGCCTTCTTGTTGGGCGACATGGGGACTTACACACCTTACACCACCTTCCAAAGAACCCAAGCCGAGAGCAAATCAACCATCTGGTGGATCAGCCGCGACCTCCGGGCCATCGGCGACAGGCCGGCAATAATCTCTCACGTCGGAGACATCAGCTACGCCCGAGGCTACGCCTGGCTATGGGACACCTTCTTCACCCAGATCGAACCCATCGCCTCCGCCGCTCCCTACCACGTCTGCGTCGGCAACCACGAGTACGACTGGCCATCGCAGCCCTGGAAACCCTACTGGGCCGCCAATATATACAAACAAGACGGCGGCGGCGAGTGCGGGGTGCCCTTCAGTCTCAGGTTTGCAATTTATCTTAGATTCTTAGTAGTAATTCTAAGGGCTGGTCTTGTGAGCTTAAGATTAGTCCAGTGAAGTTAGGATTGTCTAAGTTTTAATAAAAGGGTTAAATAGGCTGTGAATTTTATTCGAAAAGTCAAGTAAGCACTCAAACTTTCAAAATTACAATTAAACGTATAAATATAACCCAACAGGGCAGCTCGAGTGGCAAATGAGCTCTCTTTGTGAGGGAGAATTCCGGGTAAACGCATAAACATAACCCAACAGGGTAGCTCAAGTGGCAAATGAGCTCTCTTTGTGGGGGAGAATTTCGGGATAACCCGTGTTTAATCCCTACAAGTGATGATTCCGTTATTTTGAAGTATTGAATGTTCCGGCAAATCTCCGACCTCAGAGGTTAGGTTGGCTGGAGGGTTCTCGGAATCCTAGTGACCTGCAATTACAGGTCACTAACCAGTTTTATTTCTGATGGCACTTAAATAACTTTTTGAGTAAAGTTCAATTGCTTATTTGATCATTTTTTTTTCAAAATTATTTGTGTTTAGGTCGTAATTTTATTTCTAGTAAAGCTTTCAAAACGTTCCCGTTTATTGGGATTGAATTAGTGTTTAAAAATGACTTATATTCCAAAAATGGAACTCTTAACCTTTCAATCTCAGGTTCAACATGCCCGGAAACTCCTCGGAGCCCACCGGCACCGCCGCACCGGCAACGCGAAACCTGTACTACTCGTTCGACATGGGGCCGGTCCACTTCGTGTACATGTCAACCGAGACAAATTTCCTTCCGGGAAGCAACCAGTACCAATTCTTGAAGCAAGACCTAGAACGGGTGGATCGGAGAAAGACCCCTTTCATAGTTTTCCAAGGCCACAGGCCCATGTACACAACCAGCAGCGGCCACAAAGACGGCGCCTTAAGGAAGAAAATGGTGGAGCACATAGAGCCATTGTTGCTGAAGAACAAGGTGAGTTTAGCTCTCTGGGGACACGTCCACCGATACGAAAGGTTTTGCCCTTTGAATAACTTCACCTGCGGGAGCCTGGAGGAGCACGGGATATATTGGAGGGCGTTTCCGGTGCATATTGTGATCGGGATGGGCGGGCAGGATTGGCAGCCGATCTGGGAGCCACGGCCGGAGCATCCGAGCGACCCCGTTTTCCCGCAGCCGAGGAGGTCGGAGTTCCGGGCAGGGCAGTTTGGGTACGCGAGAATTGTGGCTAACATGGAAAAACTGAGGTTTTCTTACGTGGGGAATCATGATGGGAAGGTGCATGATTCGGTGGAAATCATGGCTCCATATCTCCCCCGCTTTAACTCTACTTCTCACTCACTCTATCATGATTTGTAACCAGGCACGACTGCACCTTTTTTTTTTTTTTCCAGGTTTCTAAATTCTAATTAGCTTGTTATCCAATAACAAAACTGTATTTTTTATTAATTTTAAATCCAATTTGTTATCAAATTTCATTTGCATTACTATAATTTAGTCTAGCTTGGGACATAAATGCTTTAGCTTTTGAGGCGTTACATATAATATATAAGACGTATAATCCAATTATCATAAAGGCCTAATGGTTCAATGTAAAGGTTGAATTTTTAACTAAGAGACTTGAAATGATCTAAGTAAATCTTGATGCACTTCTAGTCTCTTTTGAACTTGTGTTTGAACTTGCTTGTATGAATATATCTTCTGTTTCTATTTAAAGTTATGGGCTGTTTGGCAAATAGATGATAGTTTAGTTTATAGCTGATAGCTTATTACATTGCAAAATAACCTTTAAAGGTATGAATATATTATGTTATTTTAACCTATAATAATAATAATAATAATAATAATAATATTATTATTATTATTATTTTATTAATATTATTATTATAAAAAAGTGAACACTAATCAGTAATCACATGTCCCGTTGTTAATTACTTTCAGGGTACTAGGCAACGGGCTTATAAGCCCTGTCGATGGGCTCAAGCACACTATTGCCTAGTACCGTGAAGAGACAATGAGAGTAACGGAATTGACATATATATGGGATTGTTGAACCCGTCTACATAGTCTCATTGTTTTTTATTTTTTATTTTTATTTTTTTTTTATTTTTTTTTAGGGGTAGGTGTTTTGGAGAAAGTAATTTATTTTTTCAAAAAACTGATCGAAAAAGTTGCTTTGAATTGCTTTTTGAATTTTAGTGTTTTGGAGCAATAAGTTGTAACAAAAAGTTAATTAACCAAACACTCATAATAGTAGTCAAGCAAGCCAAAATTAGTTGTTAAGCTATTTTGCCAAACAAGGCAAATCTTTGAATTTGTCCATTGAAAGAAAACAAATTTAAACGCCTCCACTTGCCATTAAAATATTGTGCTCAAATTTAACATTGTGTAGGTCACATCCAATGGTTGCTTGCTTTGATGAAAACTGATAGAGTTGTATTGAATGAATATAATTACAATTGTACAGATTACATGTACTTATAAAGAGGGAGTCTTAGAGAGATTGGGATAGGGAATTGATAGGTATATTTTTGACTCTTATTTTAGGTATATCTTTATAATAATTTTGCATTAGTTATTTATAATTATTTAATAATTATTTCAGTTTAGAATTTAATTAATTAATTAGTTAAACAAATGTTTTATAATAATATTTAGTTAATAATGTTTGAGCTTAATTTCTTAATTATATTTTAATTCATTTAGTTAATTATATGCTTTATAATCCATTCAACGCCAAATTCTAAGCTAATCAAATAAAACATTATAAAACATTTTGTTTTCCTACCTGCAGCGACCGGTTCTACAGGCGGGAATACGGCATTTGCGGAGGGCTTCGTCACTTGGGCACAATAATAGGGAAATGTGTGGTAGAGAATAGCTTAGGTTATTTTTAGAATGCTATAAATAGTAGGAGTTTCCTATTGTAAAATGTTCATTCTTCCCCTCTCGAATATTCTTTAAGGTTGTTATCAATGCCCATTCGTGGCTAATTTCTTCTAGCTTGGCTTAGTGAATTGATGCCCCGGAATTGATTATGCTGTAAGATTATTTATTTATTTTTATTATATATGTTTCTATGCATTTGAGTATTAAATATTCTGCTAAAATTATTTGAATAGTTGTACCATTTAATTGCTAGGGAGGCCTACTAGTTATTTATTTGATATAATTATTTGCTATATTAGATAATGTTGTGCTACAAATTATTCTAATATTCAGTAGCAACTGAGGTTAATTATTGACGGCTTAGTGATAATTGGTCTCGGGTAGAATATTTTCCTAAATTAAATGCAACCGCTTGTGCTTGTGTTATTTAGTTTGTCGGTTTTCCTAGTTCCTATTGCTGCTATTAAATTAAATCTATAGCGCTTGTTTTAGATTATTTAGTAGTTAGGGGTAATTAAACCGCTTGTGCTTTATTTACCTACAACTAAGGGAAAACGGAAATGAAATAATTTCACGACAAATATTCAACTGCATATTAATTACTTTATAAATCAATGATCAGTGTTGAATTCCGGTGGTGGACCTTTACTGACCAAGGTTTCTTATTATAAGTGTTTTCGATATATTATTTTCACTGTTTATTCGTTCGATTAAATTTCTCGTTTATTTAATTTCTCTTTTATTTAATATTTATTCTCGATATATTCCAAACCCCCCATTATTTCCTTGAGCACAAAAGTTAAACTAGTTACTCCTCGTGGGATCGATCCTTACTCCCGCTACTACGTTTGTAAGGTTTTAATTTGGGAGCCTACGACAGCTCATCAGGAATCATAACCTAACTCAAATACATAGAGTCCTAATACTCCTCCTCAAGCACAAGGTATACTAGTGACTTGTAGCTTGTCTCTAAGAAAAGAAAACCGATGACCAGGTATAGCCTTTGTAAAGATATCTGCCAATTGATCCATGGTTGAAATAAAGTTAACCTGTATATCTCCATTCGCAACTTCGTTTCTAACAAAATGATAATCAATTTCTACATGCTTGGTCCAAGCATGAAAAATAGGATTTGCACACATGTATGTAGCTCCAAGATTATCAGACCATAGTTTAGGAGTGGACACGTTAGTCACACCAATTTCGCGTAGGAGGGAGAGAGTCCAGATCGCCCCAGCACAGACATTTGCTAAAGCTTTATATTCGGCCTTAGTAGATGACATAACAACAATCCTTTGTTTCTTGCAGACCCATGATATAAGATTGGAACCAAGAAAGACAGCATACCCACTAGTTGACTTACGATCCTCATGACAGCCAGCCCAATCAGAATCCAAGAAGGCATGTAATTCCTAAAAACTAATTGCCTTATTTGCATACCATAAGTGATAGTTCTTTTTACATACCTTAGAACACGTTTCAACTGCTCCCAATGAGAGACTATAGGAGCATGCATGTGTTGACATAGTTGGTTGACTGCAAATGACATATCTGGACGAGTGACTGTAAGGTATTGTAAAGCACCAGTCAAACTCCTATATTGTGTGACATCATCATATAAATCAACATTGAAGGTAGTGGGTTTTGAGACAGATATGGGGGTGGCTAAAGGTTTACAGTCTGTCATGCCAGCGCGTTTTAAGATATATATCTGCCATGTATCTTTGTTGAGATATCAAAATTCCATCCTTACACTTAATGGTTTCAATCCCGAGAAAGAAACTAGGTTCACCAAGATCCCTAATCTTGAATGTAGATGATAATGCAGTTAGCAGACTACTGACAAGACTTTGATCATTGCCCATTACAAGAATGTCATCAACATATACAAGAACATAAATAAAACCTGAGCCTTGTGAGTAGTAAAATAAAGATACATATGTTTTTGAAGCTTTAAACCCCGCTGTCATAAAAAGGTGTGTAAACGATTAAACCAAGCTCACCAAGATCTGGGAGTTTGTTTTAATCCGTATAGAGGACGTTTTAATAGACAAACATGATTAGGAAACTGTTTATCAATATATCCAGGGGGTTGCTTCATGTAGACAGTTTCAGATAGCCTCACATTCAAAAAGGCATTGTGAACATCAAGCTGTTTAATAGTCCAACCAGAAGATATAGCCAGAGATAGAAGTAACCTGATAGTAGTGGCTTTGACCACTGGACTGAAAGTGTCAAAAAAATCATGGCCAGGCACTTGATTAAATCCTTTGGCTACTAACATTGCTTTGTAGCGTTCAATTGTCTGATCAGCTTTCCTTTTGGTGCGAAACACTCATTTGCACCCAATAATATTCATATCGGGCTGTGATGGAACAAGACACCAAGTTGCATTCTGAAGAAGTGCATTGAACTCCTCATCCAATGCCTTCCGCCACTCACCGTGTTTGACAGCCTGAGTATAACAAGTAGGTTTAGTAGGGCAAACCTGAGCAGACAGAGCCAAAAGGGGGGCGTCGGTGTGACTCCGAGTGACCATGAAGTGGGTTCGAACCGTCGGCCATGATGACTGTCCCCTTGGGCGGCCTCGACGTCACGGGGTAGCAGCTGTTTTGTTGGGCGCCGAGGGCTCGTCCTGGACCGGTTCTGGTTGGCTAGTGCTGGATGAGGCTGGTTCAGGTGGTGCTGGTTGAACCGAAAGAGTGGATGGAGCTGAAATGAGAACAAATTCAGCCCACGGTTAGGTTGCCTGAACAGGTGGTGCCTGCAAAACTATTTTACTGAAAGGAAATACTCTTTCATCAAATCGAACATGCCTGCATATAGCCTAGGAAGACACAAGGAGAAGACTTGTAAGACATTTTGTGACAGTTGTAGGGACGCAAGTGAGGATAACATAGACAACAAAAGACACAAAGAAAGGAATAAGATGAAGGGGATTTATGCAATAGAAGATGAGGACTGGATTTATTTGTCACAGTGGATGACAAATCTTGTTAATTAAATAAACTGCAGTCTTAAAAGCATAATCCCAGAATTTAGAAGGAACAGAAGCACGACTTAAGAGAGCTAGACCTGTTTCAACAATGTATCTATGCTTTCTTTCAACACGACCGTTTTGTTCATGATTATATACACAAGACTGTCTATGAAGAATTCCTAATTGAGCCAAGGTGAGTGTAACTTTTTATACTCAACTCCTAGATCAGACTGTATGGATTTAATCTTACGATTGAACGAACGTTCGACCATAGCACGAAACTTATCAAAAATAGCATACAGGTCAGACTTTTGTGACATAGGGAAATACCAAGCGTAACTAGAGAAATCATCAACAAAAATAACGAAGTAACGATATCCATTATTAGAAAAAATGGGAGCTGACCTCCAAATGTCTGTGTAAATTAAATCAAGGACACACGAACTAGAGGACTCAACACGTGGTAAGGGAAAACGTGCAGATTTCCCTAGCTGACACGCATTACATTGACCCGAAGTACAACGAATATTGTGTTCTAGACCCACTAACCGAACAAGATGAAAGAATTTGACTAAGAACACGTTGGTGTGGATGACCAAGACAATCATGCCAAACAGACGCGGA